TGGTAGGGGAGGATGAGTAAAGATTGGAACTGTAATGGACTGTACCAAGGTAGGGGGGGGGCGAAAGGATGGAGGGAACTGGAGAAGAAGCATGGAAGGGGACAGAAGAGGCAGAAACCTGGGAGGTGGCTGAAGAGGAAGAAACTTGGGAGTCAACAGGGGAGGAAGGCACAGTACGAGGAGGAGGGTGGACCTCTACACTTGTAACAGAGCCAGTGAGAGGGGAAGAACCAGGTACAGAGACAGGGAAGGTAAAATGAGGAGGTGGAAGAAGGGAAGGAGGGGTTAAAGGACCTCTTTTTGACTTCTGAAAAGTAGAGGGACGATTGGGAGGAGGTGTCGTACGAGATCTCATCGATACCGAGGCTTGTGAGGGAGAACACGAAGAAGCGAGAACAGACTGAGGCATTGAAGTAGGGACGTCTGAGCCCAGGACAGCAAAAGAATTAGATACAGGAGTAACTATGGGAGAGGTAACCACAGAGGAGGCTGCAGAAGATGGGACCCCAGAAGTGGGGGGACGTTTTGAAACATGAGAATAAGAAACACGGGGTAGTCTCCCTTGGAGGCATAGATGAGAAAATACCATGGCATAAGGGAGACCTTCTGCCTCTTTGAGGTAAGAGATTTCCCGCTCATTTAAGTAGACTTGGCAATGGCGAGAGTACGAAGGGTGAGCCTCATGACAATTAAGGTAAGAGGGAGGTTGATTGCAAGATGTATTAGAATGGTCATCGGCACCACAGACTGGTCATTCGGCTATAGATCTGCAATATTTCACTGGATGGCCAAATTGCCAGCAATTTCTACACTGTCACGGTGTAGGGATCACCTTTCAAACTTGTAACCTATGTCCTGCTACAAAAACTGAGGATGGGAGTTCATGGCTGTCAAAAGTCAAACGAGCCACATTGCTAGGGTTATTGTCTCCGCCCCGGGGAGGGAAAAACTAAGTGTCTACCTTGAGGATTGGGAGATCTTGGAGTTCCAGCTGTTCAAGAATGTCATTGGGCCCCATGTCTAGAAATTTTGTTGAACTATGGCATGGGGTAGAAGAACAGTACCACTACAAGAATTGAGGAAATGATGTTTTTCTAGTGAAAACAGTATCGAATGGGAAAAAGAAAGACTGATTTTGGGTCCCATTCGTACGAGATGATGCACATACCCCCTTTTAAAGGCAAAAAAATAAAATCTTTACAAACGGCATAGGAGTCCCTTGCCAATATTGGTGGGAAAAAAATAGCAATAGAGGAATCAGTCGTAAAGTGAAAAATTTGTCCACTTGTTCTGAAAGAGCATGGAAAGGGAGTCGGGTTTTTCAATTTTTTCTGAGAAGAAGGAAGGTGGAGAAGAATCATCCAGGAAATTGTCGTTGCTTTTAGGGTAGGACCAATTTGGGTCCGACGGGGAATGGGCATGCGATTCGAAAATTGCGCCCGTAGAGGGAGAGGCCGGAAGCATGTAAAAGGAGAGCGGAGGTCAGATAAACAAAGGGAGTCATCGAACCTCAGTCCCTGAAGGGGGGTTGAGGAAACAGCAACGGAAAGAGGTACAAGGCATTAGGAGTGTCAAAAGGTGGCCCCAAAGCGAGTGGGGTCAACGGGGTGGTATCAAGAAGGTCCCGGGGGGAGCAGGGTTCGGACTGGGTTCCATGGTTAGGTTCTTCTTTCTTTTTTTTTTAAGAAAAAAAAAAGAAAAAAAAATAAAAAAAAAAATAAAAAAGGGGGAGGGGAGGGTATTTCCCCGGGGAGGAGTGGAGGGCCAGAAATCTCTTTCCCCCCAAGGGGAAACCAGCACCGCAAGTATGCAGTGCAGCATGGAACCCGTGCCATCCCCTACCCATCATGCCAGTAAACCAGCACCCCGGGATGCAACTTCACATCTGCCGAGCTCCCTTTTGGTGGACAAAGAGGGGCGGCCGATATCTGCCCAAAGATCCTCCTTTTGGCCACCCCCCCGGAAATCCAAGGCAGCCCCCCGAGATACCCCCACACCCGAAAATACCCAAAGCCATCCCGGGAGACCAGAGGGGTTTGGGGCATCCCGGGCGATCCAGTTCCCCCAAAAATACACCACCCAAAAGACTTCCGGAATGGGATGGCCCCAGGACCCTTCCCTACCCAGGAACTACGGCTGTGGAAAAAAAAATAGAAGGGAAAAGGGAGGTGGGGGGAAAAAGAAAAAGGGGGAGCATGGGTAAGGGGGGGGGGTTGGGGGGTAATTGGGTTTCGGTTGGGAAGGGGGCCCAAAAGGGTCAAATTATAACCAAGACCCTCTTCCCACACCAAGGACCCCCCCCTTGAAGGGGATGTCTGGGAAGTTTCCTAGGAACTTTCCCTTGTGGTTTGTGATGGGTGACAATTTTGTTATTTTAAGTGGAACTTTTGCGCTCGGGTTTCCCCAATTGAATAAATGGTTTTGTCATATTTAGGGAAGTTTTTTCTTCATCTCACCCAGACAGATATTTTCCGCATTCAGCAATGAATTTTGGCGAGTATGGCTGGGTTTTTGGGTGTGAAGATTAGTAGTTTTATCTGAAAAATAATATGGGTTTCAGTATTGTGATAAAATACATTTTAAGTCTTTGATATAGAGGGAAAAATAGGAGTGGTCCTAGGACATTTCCCCAGGGGGCTCCTACTGGATTGGTTGGGGAAGAGTTTGCACCATTTCCTTAAAACATTTTGGTTCTGTTACGGTTAGACTTTGGTATTAAAGGTGGACTCTTATACCATAGTGTGTTAATTTACTGTACAGAAATTTCATGGTCAACTGCATCAAAAGCTTTACATAAGTCAATGAAATTCCCAGGGGATTTTTTTTCTTGAGAGTGGCAATATTACTCCAGAATGTAAATTGCATTGTTTGTCTTTTATTATTCCTAACCCAAACTGGGGGGATTTAGTATGTTGTATGAGAGAGGTAGAATAGTCATCTATGAATTCATTTTTAAAAGTTTTTTGGAGTGGGAAGTTAAAAAATTGGTCATAGTTTTTAAAGTGGGTTTGATACCTTCCTTTATGGATCGGGGTAACCCCACTATTTTGGAACTGTTGGGAAGATGGAGGTTTCAATGGATTTGTTAGTTTTTGCAAAAATTGGTGACAGTATTTAAAAGTTTTCTTAAAACATAAAAGCGGAAAGTTGTTTATGTTTCCCTCCTTTTTCCAAAACCCTTTCAGGGTCCAAGGCCAAAATTGAAGGGGTCCCCCCATGCCAAAGAAATTTTGAAAAAACAAATTTTCTTACAGAATTTTAAAGTTATTTTTGTGAAGGGAATAAAACAAAAAAAAAAATTTTTTGACTACTTACCGAGATACAGAGGGAAGTTGACCCAAAAGACCGGGTGGGGGAAAAATCAGCGACTTCCGCAAAAATTGATTTTTTTTTTTAGTTTTCTTACTCTTTTCTTTTTTAATTTTTTTTCCCCTTTTTTTTTGTAAAATTTGTGGCCTGAGCCCAAATAATGTTATTGTATAAATGTACAACCTTTTTATTCAAACACAATAAATGCACTAATTTATCATTATATTTCTTTAAAAAAATTGTTTTCAAGTTTATTGTAAACAAATGATGAAATATTTGTGCGGTTTTTTGAGTTGAATACAAGATCCAATAGACCATAGGTTTTTAAAGGTGCCTAGGGGGCAAAGGTACCATATAGTACAAAGTACCCTAGGGGCAAGGTCCATATGGAACAATGGCACGATACAATGATACCCTATGATACAAAGGGACCCTATTGTAGAAAATTTTGGGACAAAAGGGACCATTTGGTACAATGGTACCATATGATACAAAGGGACTTTTGGTGCAATGGTACCCTTTGGGTTCCATTTGGTGCAATGGTCCTTTTTTACCCAAAGGTGCAAAGGTACCATAGGTACATTATATACAGTACAATGATACCTATGGTTTTTTCCTATGGTACACATGGCTGTTGTTTCGAACAAAAGAAAACCTTATATTTTTCATTTTTTTACAATAAATTGATTACAACAAAAATTACAAAAAAGTTGTATATTGTAAATGTTTATTTTATATTTACAAATGTACAGGGCTCGACATGTTTCTTGAGGTGGATGACAAGCTTTTTTCGGAAAGCTGATCAGTCTGCTTGCTCCCACTCACTCAGTCTTTGGGTGGTGTCTCTTGCCCCCCAACCCTATTGCCATATGGACACAGTATCATGTAATGTATTTCGTAACCTGAATAAACTTACTCAAGGCATTGGCACGTAAATAAATTTTTTTACATTTCACAAAAATAAAAGTTCATAGAAAACATACTTACAGCATATGTTTTGGGAACCTGGATAGCCCCAAAAAATCAGACTTTTTTGCATTAGGGGCCCGTACCCTGTACTATAGGGTTTCAATGTTCCATATGGGCCCTGTACCATTTAATGTAACATTTGAAACCCCTGTACCATAGGGACCTTTACCCATATGGCACATTGTCCATAAAACCAATGTATGCATTGCACGATGTACCCCTTGGTACCATTTTACCATATGGTACAAAGAAACCATATGGGTTTAAAACCATGAATTCCTCTTTAAACTCCACTTCCATCTTTTTAGAACTGTAAGTTGTGAAGAGGGGGAGTCGAAATTTGCCGGGAGAGTGAGTGGGGAGTGGAGCTTTCCCTTTAGCCCGGAGGGAACAAAGCTATTTTGGGCTTCCCCCAATCCATGCAGGCTCCCGATTTTTTCTATGTGGCAACCAAAACCCCGACCCATTCTCTCAGATGTAGGCCTACCAGCCTTCTCCCATAAATTTGTGCCGCTAGAATTTTTGCATAGATCTCGGTTTGGCTCTCAAAATAAAGCGTAGATTACGGGATGGACCCCCGAAGGGTTTTAAGGGTGTTGAGTGACGGACTTTTGTTTAGGGCTGTTTATATTTCAAAGCGGTTATGGGAGAAAACTTGGAGATGGAAAGGGGGAGGGGAATAAAGATTGGGGACACAAAGGCTGTCCCAAAAATAGGGGGGACAAAAAGGTGGAGGGAACTGAAGAAGAAGTGTGGGAGAGAACAGAAGAGGCAGAAACCTAGGAGGGGGCAGAAGAGGAAGAAACTTGGGAGGGGACAGGGGAGGAAGGCACAGTTCCTTTCATATGCATTCACTCAGTGCCATTTCTTCTAAAACTGTTGTTACATGAGAATGGGAGTGTTCTTCTTTATTTATTCTACTGTATTAACATAGAGACGATGCATACACAATGTAACTTGTACACAAACCAGATGTGTTCACCTGGTTTGCTTATTAAACTTGCGTATACCTGGATTGTTTACTAAACTTGCATACACCTGGACTGCTTACATAACTCTGTGCCTGTCCTCTTTCATGTACTTATTCTCTCCTCTCTCTCTCTCTCTCTCATTTATTCATTGTATCTTGTTTACTCACCTCTGATTCTACATTAAGACTACAAATATTTTAAGGTAAGTAATGAGTGACCTGTATATGCATTTTATCCATCAGGACACTTAAATGTTAAAGAACATTGGTTGTGGGCGAGGCCTGGTATGGTAGCCTGGCTGGCTACCATAAGTACCACACTTCGTTTCTTACAATAAATACTACTCATCTCACCCTAGATTAAGACTACAGACTACAAATATTTCAAGGTAAGCAATGAGTGCACTATATGTGTAATTTAAGTTTTTATTGTTTTTTAATGCCTAGTTCTATTACTAACTTAATATATGTTAGTGTATACTTGTTACCTAGTATTTACATGCATTTGTAAGTGAGAAAAAAAAAGGGTGTTCCACTTTATGGTGATTTCCACTTTAACCCTTTCAGGGTCGCCAGGCCCTCTCCCAGACTTGTTCTCAGGGTCAAAAAATTTTCAAAAAAAAAAAAAAAAAAAAAAAAATCTTATGAAAATATAGAGAATCTTTTCCCAATCATAATGACACCAAAAGTATGAAATTTGATGGAAAACTTATGGAATTATGCTCTCGTGAATTTAGCAGTCTCGATGATGTTTACGCATCGACGATTTTGCCCACTTTGAGCCCTATTTTCGGCCAATTCCAGTGTACTAGTCGACAAAAATCATACCTATTTTGCTAGAACTCCATTTTTTCTATTGAATGATTACAAGAAACCACCCATTTACCAATTTCAACCATCTAATAAAGTGGTCAGAATTTAGCAATTTTGCCAATTTCACACAAATTTCAAAAGATGCCAATTTCCGAATAGGGTCCAGAATAAACAAGAAAGACATTCCTGGCACTAAAATAACATTTCCTCTGTTCATTATTCATGTCCCCACACCCCTCTTACATTCTTTTGCTTTCCACTTTGAATTTTTTTTCTCACAAAAAATAGATTTAGTGTTATGCAGACTACTGCATTATTGTAGAAATGGTATAAATAATATCGGTGCACTTGTGAAAGAATATGAGACTCACCAGTTGATGTGTATTGGACTCGTAGCATGATTTGTATACTTTTGAACTTTGGTAAAAATCGAACATCTCTGCTACTTTGAGCTCAATTTCAAGGTACTTTCCATTGTAAAACCAGTAAAAAATCATCTCAATTTCTGTAATATGTCTTTCATTATATAAAATGAGACCAGGAAAACTAGAATACAACAATAAATACCATACAAAAATACAGTGCAAAGTTGCTGTATTAATCCAAAAACACGGTCTAAGTTTTTTTCTCTCATTATGCACTGTATGCTGCAGGACTTTTTTATACTGTGCACATTGACCAAATAGACCCATTCTTTCATATGAAGGCCTACCAGCTTTCTCTCACTAGATCTGAGGGCGCTAGAATTTAGCCGTACTAGTACGTCCGAAACCCTGAAAGGGTTAAGGCAGTAGCCTGGAACCTAACCTGCCATATAAGTGGAGCCCTACTATACATCTTCCATTCTATCAAATGAGACCAAGAAAATGAGAATACAACCATCAATACCATACGAAAATACACCTTAAACTCACTGTTTTAAACCAATAAATTTAGTTTTTTACTTCTCATTATGCACTGCATTCTGTAGGATTTTGTTTATACAGTGTACACTGACCACTCAGACCCATTCTCTCATCGGTAGATCAACCAGCTTTCCCCCACCAGATCTTAAGGTGCTAGAACTTTGGCATAGTATTACGGGACCGACACAGTTTTGCAAGTCATAATACTATGGGACCGACAGTGAAAGGATTAATATCAGTGTTGGTAGAGGAAGAAATATTAGCACATAACATATGACACCCACACTGGCAAAGCTTTCTCTTTAGTACGACTTCTAATGTGACTTTCTAAATTCTGAGCACTGATATGGCTTCTCTCCAGTATGAGATCTCAAGTGTCTCTTTAAATCTTGTTTCCTAGAAAAGCCTTTCAGACATTCTGAACACTGATATGGCTTCTCCCCAGTATGAGTTCTCATGTGACTTACTAAGTTTGATTTTTCAGAAAAGCCTTTCAGACATTCTGAACACTGATATGGCTTCTCCCCAGTATGAGTTCTCATGTGACTCACTAAGCTTGATTTTTTAGAAAAGCCTTTCAGACATTCTGAACACTGATATGGCTTCTCCCCCATATGAATTCTCATGTGACTTACTAAGGCTGATTTTTCAGAAAAATCTTTCAGACATTCTGAACAATGATATGGCTTCTCTCCAGAATGAGATCTAAAGTGTTTCTTTAAATTTTTTTTAACAGAAAAGCCTTTCAGACATTCTGAACACTGATATGGCTTCTCCCCAGTATGAGCTCTCATGTGACTTACTAAGTATGATTTTTTAGAAAAGTCTTTCAGACATTCTGAACACTGATATGGCTTCTCTCCAGTATGAGTTCTCATGTGACTTACTAATTTTGATTTTTCAGAAAAGTCTTTCAGACATTCTGAACACTGATATGGCTTCTCCCCAGTATGAGTTCTCATGTGACGTACTAAGTTTGATTTTTGAGAAAAATCTTTCAGACATTCTGAACACTGATGAAGCTTTTCCCCAGTATGAGTTCTCATGTGACTTACTAATTTTGATTTTTCAGAAAAGTCTTTCAGACATTCTGAACACTGATATGCCTTCTCTCTAGAATGTGTTCTCATGTGACATACCAACTTTGATTTTTCATAAAAGTCTTTCAGACATTCTGAACACTGATATGGCTTCTCTCCAGTATGAGATCTCAAGTGACTCTTTAAATGTTGTTTCCTAGAAAAGCCTTTCAGACATTCTGAACACTGATATGGCTTCTTCCCAGTATGAGTTCTCATGTGACTTACTAAGCTTGATTTTTGAGAAAAGTCTTTCAGACATTCTGAACACTGATATGGCTTCTCCCCAGTATGAGTTCTCATGTGACGTACTAAGTTTGATTTTTGAGAAAAATCTTTCAGGCATTCTGAACACTGATATGGCTTCTTCCCAGTATGAGTTCTCATGTGACTTAAAAAGCTTGATTTTTCAGAAAAGTCTTTCAGACATTCTGAACAATGATATGGCTTCTCTCCAGTATGAATTCTCTTGTGACGTACTAAATGTGATTTTCTTGAAAAGTCTTTCAGACATTCTGAACACTGATATGGTTTCTCTCCAGTATGAATTCTTATGTGGCTTACTAAGCTTGATTTTTCAGAAAAGTCTTTCAGACATTCTGAACAACGATATGGCTTCTCTCCAGTATGAATTCTCATGTGACTTTCTAAATGTGATTTTCTTGAAAAGTCTTGCAGACATTCTGAACACTGATATGGCTTCTCTCCAGTATGAGTTATCATGTGACTTAATAAATTTGATTTATCAGAAAAGTCTTTCAGACATTCTGAAGACTGATATGGCTTCTCTCCAGTATGAGTTCTCATGTGACTTACTAAGCTTGATTTTTGAGAAAAGTCTTTCAGACATTCTGAACACTGATATGGCTTCTCTCTAGTATGAGTTCTTATGTGGCTTAGCAAGCTTGATTTTTGAGAAAAGTCTTTCAGACATTCTGAACACTGATATGGCTTCTCTCCAGTATGAGTTCTTATATGGCTTACTAAGCTTGATTTTTGAGAAAAGTCTTTCAGACATTCTGAACACTTATATGGCTTCTCTCCAGTATGAGTTCTCATGTGAATGACTAAATTATATTTTTCAGAAAACTCTTTTAGACACACTGAACACTGAAGTGTTGTTCTGCCTATGATAAATCTGGTCTGATATCCACATAGAGGTTGTTGTGAAGATTGTTTTAGTGATGAGTGTGAATGTTGATATAATTGGTCTCCTACATGAACAACTGTACATTGTGTTGTCTCAACAAACTGTTTTTCAGGTATTTTAGACATAGTGAACAATAAATTCTCATTTTTAAATTGTTTAACCAGGGGAAATTTGAGAATATTTTGTTAAAGAGAAAACTAATATTCTTGTATTATTCAACTATTTTAAGTATAGCAAGCACTAAACATGAAGGGGTAATAGTGTTTGAGGAATAGGAAGGATGATATTAGCAAATATTTAGATATTTATGATACATTAATGTAATGACACTTGTTGGCATTCAAAGTATTGTAGTACCAACACTGTTGTTACAGTGTTGTCACTGAATAAGCACCATATTAGTGTCTTCACTGTATTAAAACTAGTTATTGTCACTGTAATAAAACTAGTTATTGTCACTGTATTAACACTGTAATTAGTACTGTCATTGTATTAACACTGTGGTTACTGTTGTCACGATATATACATTACTGTATAGTCAGAACTTACACGAGTTCTCTGACATTGATGATGGTACTACAAGTGCCACCTTCTTGTACCAGGATGACCTGCAGTACTGACACTACAGGTGCCACCTTCTTGTACCAGGATGATCTGCAGAATTGACACTACAAGTGCCACCTTCTTGTACCAGGATGATCTGCAGTACTGACACTACAAGTGCCACTTTCTTGTACGAGGATGATCTGCAGTATTGACACTACAAGTGCCACCTTGTACCAGGATGACCTGCAGTACCGACACTACAAGTGCCACCTTCTTGTACCAGGATGACCTGCAGTATCGACACTACAAGTACCACCTTTTGTACCAGGATGATCTGCAGTACTGACACTACAAGTGCCACCTTCTTGTACCAGGATGACCTGCAGTACTGACACTACAAGTGCCACTTTCTTGTACCAGGATGATCTGCAGTACTGACACTACAAGTGCCACCTTGTACCAGGATGACCTGCAGTACTGACACTACAAGTGCCACCTTCTTGTACCAGGATGACATGCAGTATTGACATTACAAGTGCCACTTTCTTGTACCAGGATGACCTGCAGTATTGACACTACAAGTGCATCCTTCTTGTTCCAGGATGACCTGCAGTACTGACACTACAGGTGCCACCTTCTTGTACCAGGATGATCTGCAGAATTGACACTACAAGTGCCACCTTCTTGTACCAGGATGATCTGCAGTACTGACACTACAAGTGCCACTTTCTTGTACGAGGATGATCTGCAGTATTGACACTACAAGTGCCACCTTGTACCAGGATGACCTGCAGTACGACACTAAAAAGTGCCACTTCTTGTACCAGGATGACCTGCAGTATCGACACTACAAGTACCACCTTTTTGTACCAGGATGATCTGCAGTACTGACACTACAAGTGCCACCTTCTTGTACCAGGATGACCTGCAGTACTGACACTACAAGTGCCACTTTCTTGTACCAGGATGATCTGCAGTACTGACACTACAAGTGCCACCTTGTACCAGGATGACCTGCAGTACTGACACTACAAGTGCCACCTTCTTGTACCAGGATGACATGCAGTATTGACATTACAAAATGCCACTTTCTTGTACCAGGATGACCTGCAGTATTGACACTACAAGTGCATCCTTCTTGTTCCAGGATGACCTGCAGTACTGACACTATAAGTGCCACCTTGTACCACAATGACCTGCAGTATTGACACCACAAGTGCCATTTTCTTGTACCAGGATGACCTGCAGTACTGACACTACAAGTGCCACTTTCTTGTACCAGGATGACCTGCAGTGCTGACACTACAAGTGCCACTTCTTAAACCAGGATGACCTGCAGTATTGACACTACAAGTGCCACTTTCTTGTACCAGGATGACCTGCAGTATTGACACTACAAGTGCCCACCTTTCTTGTACAGGATGACCTGCATATTGACACTACAAGTGCCACTTTCTTGTACCAGGATGACCTGCAGTATTGACACTACAAGTGCCAGCCTATGGTATCAAGACAACCTGCAAAAGAAAACTGAAAATTTATGACCTTCTATTATAACCATTAAATTATAATTAATATTATTATAATTACCTTAAACCCACTAACCATCTCTCACTGAGGTAATGTGACTCAATAAACAAGAAACACTTTCTCCATCACTGTTTTGCAAGAGTAGGACTGATATTACAATTTAAATGTCCATCCAACCTGTAAATATCCCCAATCATCCTTCATTCATTCATTCAATCATTCTTCAGAGTGCAGGCACTGTACTTCCCACCACCACTCATCCTTCAGAGTGGAGGCACTGTACTTCCCACCACACACCAATCCTTCAGAGTGCAGGCCCCTGTACTTCTCACTACACTCATTCTTCAGAGTGCAGGCACTGTACTTCCCACCACCACTCATCCTTCAGAGTGGAGGCACTGTACTTCCCACCACCACACATCCTTCAGAGTGCAGGCACTGTACTTCTCAATATCACCCATCCTTCAGAGTGCAGGCACTGTACTTCCCACCACCATTCATCCTTCAGAGTGGAGGCACTGTACTTCCCACCACCACACATCCTTCAGAGTGCAGGCACTGTACTTCTCACTACCACTCATTCTTCAGAGTGCAGGCACTGTACTTCCCACCACCACTCATCCTTCAGAGTGGAGGCACTGCACTTCCCACCACCACACATCCTTCAGAGTGCAGGCACTGTACTTCTCAATATCACTCATTCTTCAGAGTGCAGGCACTGTACTTCCCACCACCACTCATCCTTCAGAGTGCAGGCACTGTACTTCCCACCACCACCCATCCTTCAGAGTGGAGGCACTGTACTTCCCACCACCACCCATCTTTCAGGGAGGAGGAAAGAGGGAGGACTTATTGTTTGGAAGGGAAATCCCCTTCCATAAAGACTTTAGGTAACAAGTCCTTATCTGGAGTTACTTCCCTTCTTTGTCTTTTAAGGCCACTAAGACCAGCTTGAGAGTCACTGAACCCCTGTCTCACAAAATAACTGTAAAGAGTGCTCTGTTTTCTGGCATCTCTTTAACCTTTCAGGGTCCAAGGCCAAATCGGAAGGGGTGCCCCAGTGTCCAAGAAATTTTGAAAAAAAAAAAAAAAACTATTATTTCTTACAGAATTAGAGAGTATATTTTTGTGAAGGTAATAAAACAAAGCAAAAAATTCTGATCATTACTTACCGAAATACAGTGCCGAGAAGTTGACCCAAAATGACCGTGTGGCGGCAACGTCGATGATTTCCACATACGCGCATTACTTTATTTTCCGTTTTTTTAAATTTTTTCTAATTTTTTTCTTTTCCTACTAACATTCGGGGCCTGAGAGACCAATACTGTATATAATGTATATATATAAAAACTCACTGTATTGAACACAATAACTGCACTAAAGTTATTATCATAATATTATTTACCACTTTTGTTTATTACAATAAACATACACAAATCTTGTATAATACTAATGTTCTATCATATATTTACATATGTACAATCACTGGACATGTTTCTAGAACTGCTGCAGCTTGTGGAACTCCTTGAAACAAGGCACCATGCACAGAGGTACCTTACATTCCTCGCACATAAACCGAGTGTCTTTGCGTCCTTGTTGTCATCGTTTTGTTTCTGCACAGACAACACATCACTTCTCAGCAAATTTCTTCTTAGTTGCAGGAAGCTGTATTATGAAATGATCACCTTCCCTCCTCAAACGCTTGGGTATATCATGAGGAGTTCAAAGATTGTTTTGTATAGCAGGTGTTTTTACCTGGCATTTCATTATAAGTTGTCTGACAACAGACAAACAAAATTCACCATATGGTGGTCTGTTACCAGTCTTCACTTGGTACACATTATATGCATTGAGCATTGAAATGTCCATGAGATGGAAGAAAAGTTTCATATACCACTTGTAACTCTTACGAACACAATCAACAAAGCCAATCTGCATATCACATTTGTCAACTAAGTGCATGTTTTGTGTATAATCAATCACTGTCACTGGTTTTCGAATAAGTTCATTAGTCATTCTATCAACTTTGCCACTGTCTTGCATTTCGTTACAGTGAATGGTTGTCAACAATATGACATCTCGTTTGTCATGCCACCATAATGCCATGATGTCATTGGCAGTAAACACCTGCACCTTATCACCACGAGTATCTGCGTTGAACCTGGGCATATGTTTATGATTAGAATGCACTGTGCCACACACACATCTGTCTTGTTTACTCACAAGAACTCACTGAGTAAAGGGTTTGTGTACCAGTTATCAGTATATAATGTATGCCTCTTACCAAGATAAGGTGCCATCATGCTTCTCACTACGTCACCTGAGATACCCAATAACATCCTGGAATCTTTCAATGTTTTACTTCCCGTGTATACAACAATATCCAATACCAGGATACTGTCACAGTCACAGAATACAAACAGTTTTACACCAAAGCGTTTCCTCTTGCTCGATATACATGTATTCTGTTTGAATGACAGTCTACCTTTGAACAAAATCAAAGATTCGTCAAGTACAAGATTCTTGAATGGATGAAAGTACATGTTGAACTTTTCTTTCAGATACATAAAAACATTTCTTATCTTGTATAACCTGTCACTTCTGTCAGGCCTGGTTTTGTCAGAGAAGTGCAACATACATAACAGTAAGATAAACCTGTTCACTGGGATGATTTCACTGAAGACCGGGATAGAAATTAGCCGATCTGTGGACCAGTATGCTCTTATATTATGCTTATAGACATGAGGCATAAGCATTATTGTTGCAAAAAGCAAATACATTTCTGCAACAGTCGTCTCTTTCCACCGGTGTAGTCTTGACTGTGGTGATATCATCGTATTAGCCATGGTGTACTCAAAATACTTGTTACTTTCCCTGACAATAGTTTCCATCAAGGGCTGGTCAAAGAATAGTTCAAAAAAGTCCAGTTCATTGGCAGTGGTTCCAAGAGGACAAGTAGGTAGAATTCCACTTTGAGAGTCATCAAAGTGGTGGGGCTTGGGAACAAAATTGGGATTTTGCTGCCAATCCCAGATACAGTTTGCTGGTGGATACTGGACATCATAGACTGGTTGTGCTGGTAGTTGTGGTTGGGGTGGGCTGGGCTGGTGGCTGATGCTCCACTTTGTCCTTGAACTGAGGAGTCAGCAGCATGGGTCCCAGCCTGGGCTGGTGAGTTACGCATGGCCGTGGCACTACCATCACAACTATCACCACCTACTGATGCCTGTGGTCTATCCATGCCAAGTGTAGCCACATCATCCTCACTTTCACTGTTTATTAGTGGTGTAGGGCCATGGGATGTACTCCAGGATGTACTCCATCCCCTGGGCACTGCATAGGGAACACTACCTGAGTGCATGCAGTGGCGTATATACCAACGCTTCACTGGTGAATATGTTTCCTCACTATCACTACTCGAATGATCGACTAGAGCAATAAAATCACAATCCACATCACTATTATCGTTACTGAAGTTAGAGGCTTGACCACGCAAAAATAATAGTTTTCTCTTGCATTGAGGTACAATTGACTGTGACTGAGGAGTGCCCACACCAGAGGTAGAAGGCTGAGGATCGTCAGGGTTTTCTGCACTATTATCGATATCCTGGTCATTCCTTTCAGTCACTATCTAATCAAAGCCAAAGAATTCGTCTTCATTTCCATTTCCATCAGAGTCAGAACTATCAGATAGGAAAAGGAGAGTCCCAAATTTCCTTGGAGTGAGAGCTTCCTTGCGACGAGGCATGGTGAACAAAGGTAACTGAGCCAGTGTTCCCACAATGCTATGCGGGCACCTAGAATTTTTGTTTATGGCACACATACCACACAGACCCGTTCTCTCACATGTAGGCCTACCAGCGTTTTTGCACTAAATTTGACGCCGCTAGAATTTTGGCGTAGATCTACAGTTTGGACCCTGAACATAAATCTGTAGATCTATGGCACGGACCCTGAAAGAGTTAAGATTTCCCTGAAGTGGGACAAGGTTTTGTCACTGAACATATTGCAGATATGGCTCGTTTCAGTTTGGTTCAGGGTGATACTTTTCAACAAAAGTTTGAAACTCATTCCACTTTGCACACACGTCCTTAATCACTGAAGAAAACACCTCCTTCATTCCCTCTTATTCCTCCTTTGAAGCAAATTCCTGAGCTGTGGTGTGATGCTGTTCCAGTTGAAGCTCTTGCAGTTTGTCAGTGGTTAGTTCTTCCCTGTGGTTCTCCACCAACTCTTCCACATTCTCTC